GGTACCCGAATTTGACAGGTACCCGCTCCCACTTCCGCTGCGATTGCTTAGGCGATCGGAAACGGAAGTTGTCCTCCCTCTCTCCCCATAGTCTTCCAGAAGACTACAGGGCCATTCACAAAGCGCAGCACTTCTCAGGCATGCACAGTGGGCACCTGGCTGTGAAGCCGCAAGCTGTCACAGCCGTGTGCCCACACTGAAGATGCTGGCACTGGGGGGAAGACGGCCGGTGAAACCAGTTGTGGTGAGGACACCGCTGGCAAGGTTGCTGTTAGAAACCATGGGGCCTCATAGAGCCAACCTGAAAGCCCTCCCCCCCCCAAAAAAAAAAAACTGTTATGAATAAACACAGTGAGTGATCGGCACCGATGACTCATTGTGTTCATTCAGGGAAGGAAGGGGCTGGAAAATCTGACATATTTACTAGACCCTTCCCCCACTCTCGATCCTTATTGATCCTATTGTGTGCTTACAGTTGCAGAGGAGAGGAAAAAAGTGGCAGTACTGTGGGGGGCCTAGGCAGTAGGGGAAATGTATGGCGCACAGGGAGGGTTATGTGTGCAGTAGGAGGGGCCATTACTGGAACAGATCCCCCATCTCTCTCTGCTTCAGTGGAAAGACAGTGGGGGGGGAGAAGAAGCCAGCTTTCAGTTGCTGCAGAGAGAGTCATACAGGGGATCTGTTCCAGTAATTGCTCCCCCAGCCGTGCCGATCACCATCTCTGCCTACATCCATTTCACCCATCTGCCTGGGCCCAGTACAGGAGGACTGGTGCTACCCCCTTATCCACGGCCCTGACCGCTGGATCAAGGGACAGGTAAGTGTCTGTATTTTAAAAGTCAGCAGCTACAGTTTTTGTAGCTGCTTACTTTTTTTTTTTCCAGCTGGAGGTCCACTTTAAGCACAGGAGAGAAAGACCACTGACAAGGGTCTGTGCCAAACATTTAACACTGTCCCAGATTACACCAGAAGGTTCTGACCTCTGATAATTGGCTGGTCGTGTAGATTGCTGATGCATGCTCAACAGCATCTAGCAAAAGAGGTGACAATCTATGCTTAGGAAGGGAGAATGTCACCAGCACACCAAGGATCACCAATATGGGTCCAAAGGTTTTAATGCATAATCACATCATTACAGCAAGGCAACATTTCGGAGTCTCGCAGGACCCCTTCATCAGGCATGTGACCAAACACAGTAGCGTGTGCGTTTGGATTGTACACTTGCAATCTATGCATAGGCACACTCAGTATGAAGAATTATTTAGACTGGCAGCTGCATGACTGCCTCCCATAGATTAGGCACAAATATAAAAGTAGTTTAAAAGATGAATTTTCAAAAAGAAAACTGTCCCAAATCATTATAATTTCCCTAATTAACAAGTGGGCTAATCTAATATATTCTGACATAAAGTTAAATGCATTATACACTTTTAAATGTTTAAATTTTTTTAAACACCTCTAAACCGGACACTTTTACCTGTCTTTTTTGTCAAGGCCTGTCACACTTTAAATGACAATTACACTGCAAGTGTGCAACACTTTTTTTTAGACAGATCTTTCTTTTGGTGGTATTTAACCACTTCAGTACTGGGCACTTTTACTCCCTTCGTGCCCAGGACAATTTTCAGCTTTCAGTGTTGTCGCACTTTGAATGACAATTGTGCGATAATGCAACACTGTACCCATAAAAAAAAGTTAGCATTTTTTCACACATATAGAGATATCTTTTGGTGTTATTTAATCACCATTGAGTTTTTTTTTATTTTGTACTAAATAAACAAAATTGTTTTTTACAATTTTTTTTTACATACTGTCACCAGAGCTAGTACAGTGACACCATAGTGACACTCTACTGCTCAGGGGGTGATCAGGATTTTTTTTTACACTGTGATGATCACTGTATAAGCAATCATTTACACTCTGTTTGGCATCCATTCCTTATGCCATTGTTTACTATTGTGATTGGCCACAGCTATCACACAGTACAGGGCTGCTGTGATTGTCCCTGTACCATGTGATCACTGACCAATCACAGGGATCACGGTAGTACACATTAGTAACCAATGGCATCATGAATGACAGCCAATGTTTTTTTTACTTTTCATGTGATTGATCACAACGTTCACATGGCACCAGGGCTAATCACAGTAACCCAATACACTGATTTTTAATCCACTGTGTCCCAAGGCCACGCATAAGTGCCAGTAGTGGAGGACGCACTGGTGTGTCCTCTTACAATGGTGCTTTTCCTGCCTGATTGCATCTATGAGTTGCCAGATGGGAGCCGGTTAATTAAGTCTTAGTGTAGTTATATTCCCTGTGTTGTTTGTTTTCCTTACCTTGTAATGATGGGCACACATGTTGTGTTTGCAGATTGTGGTGTCATGGCTGATCAATTCCCTTATATCCAAGTATTGCTGCAGTTAGCTTGTCTTTAGGGACAGGCAACTTCTTGTTACAGGGCACACAGCTTCCAGTGGATCATAAATGTGGTGATTCTAATGTAATGAAATCTCTTCCAGCTACATGGTGAGCTATCTGTTAATTTCTCCGCCTCTTTGCTTATTTGTCAGATCTAATCACTACACGAGAGACACAGTCTCTTATTAAAGACTCTTTGATGTTTCTCCTCAGATCCCAGATGATTTCTCCTCTTCACCCAGCTGCCTGAGGGTATCCCTGAGCAATGGGACCCAGGAACTTCCTGTCAAGCAGTCCCGCATGAAGACTACTTGTGTATTGCACCTGACCGCCCTCTTCCCTTATCTTGTCCAGGGGGTGTACTCACTCTGTCTTTCCCTGTTTGGTTGGTGGGTTGGTGGTTGCCTTCAGGCCTTATGCTGGGCTTGCTTCACAGGTGTCCTTCCAAGGAGACGATGGGACAGAGGAGATCCTTCCTTCCAGAATCCTGCCTGAGGGTGGGCTTCTGCCTGAGGGTGGGCTCCCCACCCTGGGGCCCCCTCCCAGGCTCCTCGCTCCAACCGTCCACTCATTCCATCTTCCACCCAACACTGCTCACCTCCCCACAGACTCAGCCACATTTGAGGGTTGCCCTGGCCTCTATGCCCATCCTTCTGCCAGGGAATTGGCCAGGGTCCCTCAAACATGCAGATCCGGACCTCCTCCTCTCCTCCACCCCTCCTCCATATAGCTCTCATGTTTTTGGAGAGGTGGGAGGGCTCCAGAAGCCCTGACCTGTTAGAGCCTCCCAGCCTGTACTGAGTTAACCTCACTCCGCAGGCTGACTCATCCCCAAGCTGCTACTCAGTCTCTAAGAAACTATTGGAGGGCGTTACGCTCACTTTATATCACAAAGTTCCCCCCGGCTGCTAACATCTTCAGGTGGCTGGCTTCCAGGTCTCGATTGCCTTATACTTTCATTGGCCGGGTCAAGATTACATCTCTAAGCCTTGGCATTGCTGAATTGGTAAAATGAGCTGTGCGAGAAAAGCTCACTGTACAGGGGCGGTCAGGCAGGTAAATAACTTTAATGCAGAAGAGACAAAGCATGTCTCTTCTGCATTAACAATCCTACCTTTTTGCTTATTTTTATTTTTCCCTATAAAGTTTCACTCTAAACACCAACAGAGGGGGGCGTGGTCCCGCAGGTCATGTGAGCCGCTGTGCTTCACTGAGCTCCTGCTAACCTTCCTGTCACTGATCCTGTACCAGTGAGATTTTTGCACTTTTCGCTGCTCCTGTACAGCGGTCCCGGTCCAGAGCAGCTCTACATCCCCAGAGTGAGCCTTTCCCTGCCATGGTGACCCAGAAAAAAAAGGGAAGAAACGGCTGGCATGGACATCCATCATGGCGCCGGCACTCCACAACAATGTGCGCCAGAGGAGGAGGAAATAAGCTGAAGAGGCTGCTGGAAGGTCTGGTAAGACGTGCCGCCCTGCAGGGAAGGAGTGCTCCAGGGACATGCTTTATTATACCCAGAAGATTACAGAGCCATTGGACCCGGACGTTCAGGGGACTCCCACCCTTTCTCTCCCCCTGTGCGGCCTACTACACCATCGCAGCAGCAGCAGGTGGACATGAGGGCCGAGCGGGGTGCTGAAACGGACATGGGTGATATTGAGCAGGAGAAACCCACTTTATTGGATATCCTTAAAGCTGTGCGACACTGTACCGCATCGGTGCATTCTGTGAAGGAGCAAGTGGGGGGTCTGAGAGAAGAAGGGAGCTTTCCCTGACATGATATTCAGAAGATTAGAGAAAGTCGCATAAGTGATTTGGAAGATAAATTCCCCCTTTGCTCTCTGATACCCGTTCCACAGCACATTTGGCTAAGGCTAATAATGTCACAATGGACGATCTTGAAAACCATCTGCCACCTGAACCTGTAGACCTACCTGAACGTACTGAGGGTGTTAATCCCACGCAATTAATTGAAACCTGGCTACTTGAGCTTTTTGACAAAGAAGCATTTTCTCCTCTCTTTGCAGTAGAAAGGGCACTCCGTACCCCTATTCGACCATTGCCGGCTGGACAACCACCCAGGCCTGTCCTGGCACACCTACTCAATTACAAGGATCGTAAAATCATACTGCGTCTTGCAAGGGAATGTGCCAACATTCAATTTAACGGGGCCAAGATTTCCCTTTACCCTGACTTTTCTGCGGAGATGCAACGCAAGTGGGTTAAATTTCTTGGGATTAACCACTTGCCTATTGGACACTTATACCCCCATCCTTACCAGGCCCAATTTTCAGCTTTCAGCGCTGTCGCACTTTGAATGATAATTGCGTGGTCATGCACCATTATGCTCATATGATATTTTTAGCATTTTTTTCACAAATAGAGCTTTCTTTTGGTGGTGTTTACTCACCACTGTGTGTTTTATTTTTGTGCTATAAACAAAGAAAAGAGCAAAAAACTTGAAAAAAAAAAGTTTCTTTGTTTCTATTATACAATTTTGCAAACAGGTAATTTTCCTCCTTCACTGATGTGCATTGATGAGGCTGCACTGATAGGCAGCACTGATGATGGGTACTGATAGGCGGCACTGACTGGCGGCATTGCTGGGCACTGACTGGCGGCACTGCTGGGAGGCACTGACTGGCAGCACTGCTGGGCTGCACTGATGGGCACTGGTGGGTGGCACTGGTGGACACAGGTGGGTGGCACTGCTGGGCACAGGTGGGTGGAACTGGTGGGGGGCACTGCTGGGCACCGATCATCAGTGCCCTGATGATCGGTGCCGACCCCGGCTCTGACAACTGCCGGTTCTCGGCAGTACTTTCCTCACGACTCTTAACGGTGCTTCAGACGACTTATGGCAGGGGCTCTCTGCCTGCCTATATGACCAAGGCCACAGTAGTCTTAAGCCAGACAAGATGGCCACTGACCCTGGCTCCTATAGACCCATATCCCTATTACAGTCTGAAGTAAAGATTCTGGCCAAAGTGTTAGTACTACACTTAAATAAAGTCATTACAACTATCATAAACCCTGGCCAGGCAGGTTTCATGCCACACGTGTCCACCGCTGTTAATTTACACAGACTGTTTATTAATATGCAAACACCAGCTGACAACATGGACTCTAGAGCTCTAATTCTGTCGTTAGATGCCACTAAGGCATTTGATAGCGTAGAATGGGATTACTTATGGCGGATTCTTGCCAGATTCGGTTTTGGCGATCGGTTTATAAATTGGGTGAAACTTCTATATCACTCTCCCTGTGCCACAATTAGACAGGGCAGAGCAATTTCCTCAACTTTTCACTTGACCAGAGGCACCCGTCAGGGATGCCCCCTTTCCCCGCTTTTGTTTGCACTGGCCATCGAGCCTTTGGCGGCACGAATTAGGGCTAGTATAGATGTTGAGGGTTTCAGATATGGTACTCATCAAGAAAAAATATTGTTATATGCTGATGATGTCTTGCTTCTGCTTGGAGACACTGGACCTTCCTTGCGTACTGTTATGCATATAATTTCACAGTTTGGCCATTATTCGGGACTAGTCATTACCACCCAAAACACACTCTCCGCTCCTCACAAGACCTCCTACTCTCCAGTTCCCTGGTCTCCTCCCCCCATGCCCGTCTCCAGGACTTCTCCAGGGCTTCCCCCATCCTCTGGAACTCACTAACCAATCCATCAGACTGTCACCTACCCTCCTCACCTTTAGGCGCACCCTGAAAACCCATCTCTTCAGTGAAGCCTACCCCGCCCTCACCTAAGTGCTGATCTCCTCCGCTCTCCCCACCTCCATCCCCCACAGCTATTTCCTCCTGTACCACTCTCCCATCCCTCCTAGATTGTAAGCTCCAAGGTGCAGGGCCCTCGAACCCCTTGTGTATTTTATTGTATTGTTACTGTACTGTCTCATGTATTGTCTCCCATTGAAATGTACAGCGCTGAGCAAACTGTTGGCGCTACATAAATACTGTATAATAATAATAATAATAACTATCACTGTTGCCACCGGACGGGATCATGGATCCCATGGTGCCTACTTTCTGTCCGGTGGTGATTACATCCTCCTTCAAATATTTAGGTATCCTCATTAGTGCTGATTTACTAGATTATTGTCACCTTAATGTAGTTCCCTTGTTAAATTGATTTAGATATAAGGTCAAGATATGGTCTAAATTCTGGTTATCTCTGGCAGGTAGAGCTAATCTTATAAAAATTATATTTATGCCCCAATTGTTATACTTCCTGCATAACTCCCCAATCATGAATCCTTTGAAAACTTTTGAAATTATAATTACCATTTTTTGCTCGTTGCACTGGGGGGGCCATTCAGCATGGCTTCGGCTGGAACATTCGCAGCATCCCAAGGATAGAGCGGGGATTGCTTTGCCTAACCCATGGTTGTACTACCTTGCTAGTCAGCTGCAGCATTTTCATAAAGGTATTGTGCAAGGAGGTGTTGACCCTGCTCCGGTTGATGACTCTACACTGAAAGTGATGTTGCATTGCACAGCCTCTTTCTCCTTGCCTGAGGGTCTTGAGGTTCAATATTTTTGTAAACCTAATAAATCCTTCCCTATATATCCCCTAATGCAAAAAACTTGGCTTTAGGTTAAGCAATTACAGCAGATTATGGGTCATATGGTTTATAGTCCCATATGGAACAATGCAACAATACCAGAATTGGCCAAATTACAATATGTTTCTAAATGAAAGCATGGCATCACTCACTTGAAGCATGTATTTAGCAATGGTCAGCTTCTCTCGTTTGATGTTTTACAGTCTAGGTATAAACTGCCATCCACGATGCTATTTTACTATTTGAAGTTAAAACATGCAGTTACTGCTCAGGGCCCATCGGCCATCTGGCACTCCTCTCCTACCCCTATTTTTAATTACTTAGAATCTGCTACGGTGACCAGGGGCTTACCTCTCGTTGCTATAAAAATGCTTTTGATGGACTATTTGGAAAAACACCTGAGTAGGACCGCTGGGCAATGGGAACGAGATGTTGGGGCTTTTGAGGATTATTAGTGGGAGGCTGCCTTGCATTCTGTACATCTAAGTTTGCTGACGGTTTCCTATTGTATTTCTCAACTGTATATCCTTCTTAAGGTTCATTACACTCCTGCAAAGATGGGGCTACGTCAGGACCCCCTATTTGGCAGATGCAAGCAGGATCACGGGAATCTGATACATATGCTATGGAGATGTCCAAAACGTCATAGGTATTGGGAAAAGGTGGTAACTACCCTTAATTTGGTGTATCAAATTAACTTAATGCTGGATCCTAAACAGTGCCTTTTGGGTATTTTAGATTCGGTAACGCAGGATACATTTATATTAGAGGCCCTTTCCAAGGTCTTGTTCTAGGTGTGCAAGGCACTTCTGGTACTTCCCCCACTGTTGCCGACTGGAAGCAAAATATGGGAACTATTTTATGATATGATCGTTTAGTTTACCAGCATAGAAGATGTTCGGGTAAATTTGAGATACTTTGGAATGCTTGGTTGGCCACTCCAGGTTTGGCCCCTTTTGATCTAATAATGCATAGGCTGTTGTAATTGCTTTTAATTGTAATTTGATTATCACATTCTCGAAGCTAATATACACCTCTTCTGCATTCCCTGGTGGGGGGTGGGGACAGGGTGCTCTCTGTTTTCTGTGGATCTACTGTTGGGAGGATACTCCTACTGTACTGTATGTGAAAAAAATTACCATGTCATCTAATTGCATTGTAATATGTTATCTCTGTACTGTGGTAGAAACTTTTGGATTTCTTCTCTAATTGTTTGCACTGGAAGGTTTTCCTTATCATGTTGTTTGGTTTGTCTATGATTGAGTCTTTGATACCATTCTGTATATGCTTTGTCATTTTGAAATTCGTATGACTTCAACATTAATAAACGTCATTTCTGATTTAAAAAAAAAACACCAACAGAAACTTTTGACACAGCAATATGAAGATGTATTCTATTGTAGCCTGTGTGTACAGGTCAGCAAATGACACCATGAAACTACATGATTAAAGCAGGTGAAAAACACAAGGTACAGGCAGGAAGGCCTATAATGCCTTTAAATATAGTTATGAGCAAACCACTTCACTCAGACCCCAATCAACAGGATACTGGATGATTGGGAAAGTAAATACAGTAGATTGAGTGGTCAAATTCACTTGTGAACGACTAAAGAGATCTTTTAGCCCCTTTCAAGTTCAGTTCCAGCTTGGCCAGAAGTGGATGGACCTTTATGAAAGCATGCTTTATAGGTGAGAGACTTCATTATGACATAGATACCATTTGTGAAAATTTTGTTAGTTAATTTATGTAATGAATTTAATTTATGTAACTTAATTTTTTTAACTTATATAATGAATAAAGCATATACAGTGGTACCTTGACCTACAGGTTTAATTAGTTCCGTGGCCGAGCTCGTAGCTCAATTTGCTTGCACATCAAATCAATTTTTCCCAATTGAAAATACTTAAAATGCCCTTAATCCGTTCCAACCCTCAAAATGCCACCCCATATGTCCTTTTACTCACATACCTTGTTCATGTTTCTCGATAATTTCATGCTTTAATTCAATGGACATCATCCTCCTCTTCTCAGCATTGTCACTAGCACTTACTTTCTTGGGAGACATGGTTACAAGAAAGTTAGAAGAAGAAATTTGCACCAAACACGAAGCACAAAAGCAAGAAACCGTCAGCACAATGAATCACAGTGTTTACTCTATGAGGTGAACACGTAAAGAGAACGAGAAAGCATGTTGGAGGCTGGGGGATGCTGTGGTGTCACTGCTCACTATGTCATCTAGCAGCGGCGTCTCGAGCTCGTACCTCAATTTTTTGCTCATGTAACAAAGATAATAAATCGAGCGAGTGACGACTCATACCTCGGAAAACTCGTACATTAATTCACTCATAGGTCAAGGTACCACTGTAGTAATATTTTTAAGCTTTTATATATATGGTGTTTGTAGGTTTCCTTTTTCATAAGCATGTGCAGGTTGTCATGCCTAGGGCAGACAACATATTGAGAAACCTGGGCAGTGACAGATCTATTGGTTGTTGTCCCTGTTGTAGAACACTGAGATTTGCTTCAAACCCTCTCTTTCTGGGATGAAGTTGGAATGTGAGGTATGTGTAGTGAAAGGATCATAATTTTCTTTGGAGGAAAGGAACTAAATATACAGATTTATCAAAAAACCAAAGGTTGAAAGTACCTTAACTCACTGGTAGGAAGAACAGCTTGAGGATGGTTTGATGGAGTCCCAAGCTCTACCTCTGGTGCCACCATTGGCCCTGAAAAGCCAAAATTTTCGGTGAGACACAGGAGGGATTAAGCTAGCAGGGCATCCAGGTGTGTAAAATGAATGTTAAATTGAACATAAGAGCAGGGGCGGACTGACAACTCATGGGGCCCCCGGGCAATAGGGGATCATGGGGCCCCTGTGTCCTTGCCCAAACTCAAAAAAGCCTATGAAAAAGGTACCGGGGCATCTCATGGGGCCCCCTACTGACCCCGGGCCCTCGGGCAGTGCCCGAGTTTCCAAATGGTCAGTCCGTGCCTGCATAAGAGACATTGCATGGTATTGTGTGTCACTGCATCAGTTTCAATGCATGATTTTTTGTTTGATCAGACTATATCTTTAAATTGATGTATCTTATTGGAAAATGTTTGATGCTGATGCACATTGCAGAAATAAAATTTAAATAAAAGCAGAAAAAAGGATTTCTTTGTTATATTCTATTAGGAGTTCACAGTACATTCAGCTGTATTATATTCATTTGTTAACACTTCAATGTTCTTGTCACATTTTTGGTAGCATGCCCCAGAAGCAGGAAACAAGACATGCGCTCTGTTGGCCAGCTTTAGAAGTATAACAGAAT